CTGCATACACCTTGCTTTTCCTCAGCTCTGCTGCTAACCAGCTCCCTGGAGCCAGGGGCTCCACTGCTCCCAGCATGGGACGCTGCCGATTTCAGGAGACCCTCATTTGCTGTAAAATATGGACCTCTCAGCAAAATTGCTGGTTTCAGGCCCAAAACTACACTCCCCACACTGTAATGGCACAGACTTAACCCAGCATTTACTGGAGGGCAGGACCTGAAGGTGCCAACAAGCATCAGGTATTTCCTTCCAGACAAATGTAGGAGAAAAGAAGCAGCAGCAATAGAAACAGGATCAGTCCAGCCTGTCCTTGCCTATCCCAAACCTCCATTTCTGCTGTTCCTGCAGAAATCCAGTCCTGGTGTGGTCAGGCAGGAGAAGGAAGGAGGGTTGTGTTTAGAAGCCAGCATGAAGGCACTCACTGGGATCCCACCAGGCTTTGAAAAGCCTCACCACAACAGTGAGCAGTGATTTTAAGGCCTTGGATACCGAATAGAGTTATGGCCACCTCTGCTCAGCCAGGTCCAGGCAGGACAAGGGGGAATGGTTTTAAACTGAAAGAGAGCACGTTTAGATTGGATATTAGGAAGAAATTCTTTCCTGTGTGAGTGGTGTGGTTCTGGCACAGGTTGCCCAGAGAAGCTGTGGCTACCCCATCCCTAGAAGTGTTCAAGGCCAAGTTGGATCGGTCTTGGAGCAATCTGGTCCAGAGGAAGGTATCCCTGCCCATGAAAGGGAGCGGAACAAGATGAGCTTTAAGGCCCCTTCCAACTCAAACCATTCAGTGATTCTGTGATTCTAAAGGGAGCCTACTTTCCTACTTCAAGTGTTCAAGAAATTCGGCATCGATGCAGGAAGCACAAGCAAAAATACTTTTGCATAAATCTCTTGACCTGCCAGTGCCCCGATTCCATCTTCATTCCCCGACAGGTGAAGGGAGGCAGAAAACCCAGGGTATCCTGGGAGCAGCCTGACCTCCTCGCCTCCAAGCCACTCACCTGCTTCAGGAGGAAGAGGGAGAGAACGGCACACAGCGTGAAGAACGCTGCCACCACCATCATGATAATGGCCACGGCCAGGTTCCTGCGCACCTCCGACAGCGCCGCGATCCATCCGCTGCGGGGAGAGGAGAGTGGGGTGAGCATGGACAGCATTCCAGCACAAGATGAGATGGAGCAGTGGAGGAAGAGGCACCCAGTGTTGCACAAGAGCTTTAGGGGAAAGTTACAGGGAAGTACAAAACCAAACAGCTGTGAAAACAGGAACCCAGGGCTCATCCAGGCCCTCGTTTTGGGGGAGAGTTTCCACTGTTATTTTTAGATAAGGATCGTGTTCATCCCACCCACATTCTAGTCCTGGATCACCTCGCTTAGGCAGGAAAATCAATACCCTTGGCGCCACCGGTGACTTCCACGAGCACCTTCTCAAAATTCAGCCAAGTGGGTAAAGATAGGCTGGAACAGCTAAATTGGAAGAGATCAGCTGGCAGGTCTGGAGCCTGGATGTATGTGTCACCCTGACAAGGATGTCAGCATTGGGAAGGGAACGAAGAGGAAGGAAAGGAAGAAGTTGGTGAGGCCCTGGCACAGACTTCCCAGAGAAGCTGTGGCTGCCCCACCCCTGGAAGTGTGCAAGGCCAGGTTGGATGGGGCTTGGAGCAACCTGGGATAGTGGGAGGTGTCCCACGGCAGGGGGGTGGAATGAGATGGGCTTTAAGGCTCCTTCCAACCCAAACCAGTCTGTGATTCCATGACTCTAAGTTAGAGCTACAGAAAGGAGGAAATTAGGAGTTGTTGAAGGGCAAGGGCAAAGAGGATGCTGGGAATTACCAGCGCTTGGCTGTGGGTGAAAATACCAAGACACCTTACTCAAAAAACCCTCTTGGGTGCTGGAGAAAGGAATCTTTCCAACTGCTAAACCAAACATGCCATGAGCCACTGGGAGAGTGGGAATCAAGTGAGCCAAACCATCCCATCTGATGTGCTGCACAGCTTCTCACTCGTCACAGGGAAGCAGAAAGGCACACCATGCACTGCAGCCAAAAATATACGAGCTGTCTGGCGGGAGGAAACGGAGCAGAAAGCTACAGGCAGGCTCTCCCAGCCAGACTAAACCCAGAGTGCCCCCTCCCCATCCCCTGTGACTCAGGCAGCGGGGAGGGAGGCCGAGGACATCTCTGCCCACAAGCCCTTCTGCAGGCAGTGGGCAAAAATAGACAGCAGCTTCACTGCTCACCTGAAGGCTTCCCCTCAGAACAACCACGAGCTGTTAACCTTTTCCCTGTTCTCCGTAACACCAGAATCTGATCTGTGGCCAAGGCAGCAAGGCGAAAGGAAAGGCTGTGCTTTCCCTGCAGGGCACAGCTGCTGACACGAGGCTGCTGGACCTGCTCCAGAAGCCTGGGCTCACCCTTCTGTACAATGTCACTGAGAAAGGGTGAGGGCAAAACTCTCTCTGCTTGTTTTTTTGAAGCACTGCCCACTGGCAACACGCTCCAGAGAAACTCAGGAAGAGTTTGGGTACAGAGTCAGGCTGGCAGCGGCAGCATCAAGCTAAGCTGCGCCCAGATTCCAGGTCAGAGATCCCTCAGCCCCACACCACCTCTCTCAGGGCAGGCTCCAGTTTAACACAAGGTAGACATGGTCAGCACTATAGGCTCAGCATCAAGAAGGAGCAAACATGATTTGTATTAAGTTAGGGAGAAGGCAGCAGAAGGAGCATGGAAGATTTATCACAGAAACCCAGAATGGTCTGGCTTGGAAGGGACCTTAAACCCCATCACATTCCACCCACCCTGCCACGGGCAGGGACACTTTCCACCAGCCCAGGTTGCTCCAAGCCCCACTGAACCTGGCCTTCAACACTTCCAGGGATGGCACAGCCACAGCTTTTCTGGACAACCAGTGCCAGGGCCTCACCACCCTCACAGGGAAGAATTTCTTCCCAATATCTAATTATTCCCACACTGCCCTCAGCGCTGGCCACAGCAGCAGCAGCAAAGGAATACACTTTTGCTGTGACTAGGATGGAAAGAGCAGAGCAGGGAAGCAGCCCAGCTGGGACCTGCCAAAGCTGTGCAAGGGCTGAGAGAGGAAAACCATGGGAGAAAGAACAGGCAGCTGTCAGAAACAAGCCCCAGAGCTCCTGACAGTCACAGCCCTGGTGAGAAAAAGGATCTGTGCAAGGCTGGGATGCAGCAGCCAGTGAAACCAAGCTTACCTGTCTCCCCAGCCAGGAATGCCAACAGCCTGGATGACGTAGATTGCTATTTGGCAGAAGAAGACAAAAAAGAAGACGAAGAAGCTGAAGGAGCTGTCAGACCTGCGGGAGAGATGGCAGCAGGAGTGAAACCCATGATCCCTGCACAGACTCCCTGCTCTAAGAGAAAGGGAACAATTTCAATGAACTCCTTTCTCCAGGGAAAAGCTGCTGAGGGGAGGAATTTGGGTACCCATACAACTTATGTGTCCACTGCAAATCCAATGCTCTGCCCAGTGCAAGATAAAGTGAAGGCAGCTCCCTTAATACATGCAGTGTGCTCAACATTAATGCACCAAACAGCGTCTCAGAAATCAGTAAAATGAATAAAAAAATTAACTAAAAACCCCAGATGACTGGCTAGGCTTGGATTTCAAGATGAAAAAGGATCACCATAATTAAGTTGTATCAGATAGATCTAATATGCTTAGAAACATAGTGAGTTTGATTCAACTAATGATGCAAAGAGCTGGAAAAATCCTGCAGGCAAAATACGATGGGAAAACAGATAAACCCAAAGCTCCTCCCACTAAAAGATACATCCCCTTTACAGAAAAAAAAAACAAAAAAACAATAATAGTACTTGCCTGAAAGCCTTGTAAATTGGTCGGTACCAACAGAGAAAGGCACAAGGGGTGAATAAAATTAACCAAAGAATCGAGAGACCGAAGTCTACGCCTCTGTCATTAACAGTTGTGAACCACGCCAGACAAGCGAGCAGGTTTAGGAGCAGGGTAATGGAATGCACTGTTTGGGGTGGAAGAGAGAGAAAAAAAACATCAGTAAGCTCTTGGAAAACCCGCAGCATCCCTAATCTCTCACTGAACACACTGAGCGCCGCAGAAATTAAGGAGACTCCGGGCCATCTAATTTCACTGCCTCCCTTGGAAGGAAAACACAGCTTAACCTAAAAGCTCATCTGATCCTGCTGCTAGTGGCCAAATCTTAAATAGTTGTTCAAGTCTCCATTAAACAATTAAAATTCTGTCACGAATAAGCTACTCCCAAAGCATAAACTTGGAGTTCTTCACATTTGCCTTCATAAAAAAGGAGGGAAACATGACTTTACCCTTGCAGACAACACTGATAGGATTTACTGTGTGACAAAGCTCAGCTTTTGATACAGAACCTTCTTAGAAAGACTTTTTTTATTGCAGTTCAAGCCATTACTTACACATCCACAAGTAATACAGCATCTTGCATATCCGCTGGTAGTCAGCTGGGATGTCTGCAGAAAAATCCTGATAAAAACACGGCTTGATGGGACACTTCTTGGGAAGGGGTGGCCAGTTGTTCTGCCTCGCTGTGGAAGAAAGAAAGAAGCAGCTCTTCACCTGCTCTTCTCTCTCTCAATTGAAAGACTAATTCACACACCATAATTTCCAAGTAGCCGTTCAGATATTGTTTAATTCATACATTAAAACCTTGGGAGAGCCCAGGGGTTGGTCAGAACCTATGTTTGAGCAGGCAGCACAACAGGAACGTGATAAACTGCTGGCAGAGCGAGGCAGACCAACCTAGATTGGGGGTTTTCCTCTGGGGAAGGCGGAATTCCCCTGCAATGGCCAAAGGGCCATCACAAGCATCATCACTCAGCTCTGCAAGTCCAGATTCAGTCATTTAAAACCAAGATTAGGGGGGAATATTGGTTTACTGTGCTTAAAAAAGCCTCAATAATGAAAAGAAAGCTCTGTTGCTCTCAATGAAGGGCCTTAACGTGGCAACAGCTCCGACACAGGTACAAAATTGGTGTTTGAGAACTTTTTGTGGTGAAATGCAGCTGCTGAGAGCACACTCAAGGGCAGGGACCCATCAGAGCTGGCCCTGCCTCTGAGCTCCTTTCTCATCTTGGAGGATACAGGATGACAGGTACAGTCACAGGAGGGTTGCCACAGCTGTGAAGAACTAGAGGAAAGCCTAAAAAATGCTTCTAGAAGAGCTGTGTACACTTGGACAGGCTGAGCTTTCCTGAAATCCTGACAAACCAAGGAACTCAGGCTTCCCTGGGCATCCCAGTGACAGCAGCAGGACGCAGTACTCACGGTTAATGCTGGCTGAGTTGCTCTGCAGTTCCCTTTCCTTCTTCTCCAGCTCAGCTGCCTTCCTCTCTAACTCTGCCTGCTGCTGAAGCAGCCCGGCCTGTGCTGCCGCGGCCACGGCCTAAAGCAGGGGAGAAGGAGGTTAGTCCTGCCCTAAGCCAGGTACTTACAGCACCACCAGCAAACACACCAAACTGGAAGGGAAGCAGGGCAGAGGACAACATGAAAGCTCAAACGTCTTAACTCTTTCTGCCTTACCCGCTGAAAGACAAAATCAAGATCGATGCAGAACTCCACCCGCATGTCCCTCTCTTATCCCTATCCTTATCCTACAGGAAGACAGGGCTGGAAGAGCCCTCAGGAGGCTTATCCACTCCATTCTCCATCCCCTGTGTCCTTCCCTTTCACCAAAGCTATGCTTTTCTCACAGCTTCGTCTACCTCACAGTTCACTGCTCTGAGCACCTCACAGCTGAGCAGTGAGCAGGACTCCTGGGCTTAGCAGGACAAGTCCCTTCCCAGCTGGGAGAAGAAAGGCAAGACAGCTGGCTACCACACCTCTTAAGGATCTCTTCTACTTGTTTTGTATTCTGAGAACTGATCCTTTCTCCCAGCAGCCTCAGCCTCTCAGCCCTTTGGATGAGGTGGTCCTGGCAGTCAGGTACTTGCAATTATGCTCCTGGCACCGAGCGTGTCTGACCGGACATTAGAACTAAGCTGAAAACATTAGCAGGTTACATCCTACGGTTCCCAGAGGGAAGCCAGAGCCAACAGGACACAAGGCAAAGCAAGCTCTGCCACCAGAGGGACAGAGAAAAAGGCATAAAAAGAACTGCGTGTGTGTATTCCCCATAAATCTCTGCTTCCCAAATGGAACTTGAAAAGATCACCTGCAGCTTCCCACACACAACCCCAGAGAATCCCATTCCCCTCCTATTCCCAGAGGCTGCTGGGAGCTCCCGGGGGCCGGGGAGGCAGAGGTGAGGAGCTGCCATACCTGGGGCGTGGGCTCCACGGACGTCTGCAGAACAGCCGGCTGCGAGTGGCCCGAGGGCTGCACGGCCGGCGTCGTCCGGGCTGCATTTGTCTGCACAGAAATCAACAAGCAACAAGGTAAAAACATTGCAGGAGGAAACAAAAAAGGATTTGGATCCATTTAAACCAATCTAAATCTTGGTTTCCCCTTCTCCTTCGCCCATCTAGCTCATGGCAGCAGCCAGGGAATAAGAACGCAGCTCTCCCAGCGATCCATCAATGGTATTGCCATGGCAGTTCAGTTCCCAGCCCAGGAACCAAATACATCTTGATGTGTCCTGCCACAAACCATCTTCCCCTTCGCACTTCATATGGCTTCCCTGTGAGTCAGCAGCCAGCTGGAGAGAAGCTGTTCCACGTGAGTGGAGAGCTCCAGTTGGGAGTTTATTAGTGGTCCAGTGCAGGAACAGTTGCTTGCAGCTTGCCACACACGCCATGAGTCACATTCCATGAGGAAATCGGCTGTGAATTCCTCTTTTCTTAAATTGCACCTACCAAGGGACCTTCTACACCACTAAAACCACCACAAGACACACAGAGCACAGACACGTGGCACGTACCAGCTGGGAGCTCTCGGAAAAGGGGTTGAATTCATCCAAGCCACTTTGGCTGGCATTTGTGAGCTGTGTCACTGAGGGATCCTGAAAGGAGAGAGCACAAGGATCAATCAGCATCAGATATAGGGCAACATCACTTATATCATCAAATTGTTCAGGTTGGAAAAGGCCTTTAAGATCATCAAGTCCACGTTACCCACGCTACCGCTCTTCCATCCGCTCACTAGCTGGGAATTGGATGGGGTGAAACAGAGGCTTGCCACAGGTGGATGGCCTTGGCAGGCATGGAATTTAAATATCCAAGGAGATGACTATCAGCAAGGCAAGATTTGTGGGCAGAAATAAACTCCTGGTCAGCCAAGAACAACTACAACATGCTTCTGGTACAGGAACCCTTTGTGCAGGTTAATACTGCTTACCTACAGAAAGTTATTTCTAATTTCCAGGGATCTGCATTCATTTATCCATGGTCAGAATGCTGCTGGACATCCAGGACCACCTCCCAAACCTCACCTGCACTTCATAAAGCAAGCATAGAGCCACAAAGTACAGCAGAGCTACAGAAAATGAGGTTCTAGATACAACTGGTCCTGGCTGACAGATGTCAGCAACCTCAAATGCCAATGATTGCTCTGAAACGGCAAAACTCCCAGGAAAATCAAGCTGGAGATGTGACACCAATTATTTTAGGAGGTTTTAATGCTGCTGGCATAACATCTGTGTTCACTTTTACTCACAGCATCTCCCACTTGGCTCCATCAAATCCTCTGATATTTAAAAACAGCCTCTCTGCACATGTGAGAACTTCCCCTCACCTGCAATGCATGCAGCTATTTTTATCTCCTCTTTTCTACACACTACATTCCAAACAGAGATTCCTCTTTGACAGCCACATGTTGACCTCTGGAGTGCTCCTCTCCCCAGTTACTACAGAAACAAGGTCCTTTTGAAAACTCGGAAATCCCCCTGCCTGGCAACCCAAGAGCTGGGTGTGGGTCAAAAAATTAAAAAGTGGCTTTGTATCCCTCCCTCAGCAACTCGTGTGTCCAGATCAGTCATTCTAATTTGGTGCTTAATGCGGCGAGAAGCCACCGAGGCTGCGCCGAGGTGAGAGTGAGAGGTGCAGGCTGCAGGAAAATCCCTCTGGAGCCATTCCCGGGGTTTTAGCGCAGCCTTCTGCCGAGCAGGATACACACAGAGCAGTTAATGAGTAACTCCTCCTCGACAGCAGGCACTCCCTACCAACAGGTTGCACTAGTTTATGAATCACCCTGGCTGAGGGATCGCAGATGAGGAGGATTTGAATGCTGCTCGGCGAAGCACAACTCACCGGCAAGAAAGGGCTGTAAAAAAATAGGAAGCACCAGCAGAACTGCCATGCTGGAAATAAAACTTGTGCCTTTATTTCGCTACTGACTCCTCTGGAAGCCTCAGCTTCACCAGTTTTGCACAGACACGGGCTGTCAGCACAAGTTTACACGTCACTTAACGCACAATAGCTGCTGCACACCAGCATAAACCCTTTAATCCCAAGCAGATGAGGCCCCAGTCGCACTAAAGTCCAGCAAAAAACTACAAGAGGAAGAGAAGCTCCCTTAAAGGCATGGGGAGCGGAAAGTGAAGACTGCATAACCCTCTGAAGAGCCTGAATGGTCAGGCTGGGTTGAAAGCGCTCGGAAATAAGGAGAAATGCTACAGTACCACAGTAAAACACATTTTTCTCCTCTTGGCTCATCTCCATTCCAAAAGAAAGCTGGAGGCTCATCAAGGGCAGGAGAGCAGCACCCCTGCTTCTCTGCTCCCAGCTGCACAACAGTTTGATTTCAAAGGCAGACAAGCTCTCATCCTACTGCACAGCTTTCAAAAAAATCACTTAATTAGGTGGTAAGGCCAAGGCACAGCCTGCCATTGTTCGAGTGTGTCTAAAATAGAAACCCAAAGAGCAGGGAATTCGCAACAAAGCTGAGGTTTTTGGTCACGTGCCTCTGTGCCCTGGATAGGGCAGGAAGGAAAACAGAGGGTGACACACAGACACCAGCTTCCACGACCTCAGCCCAGGCAGCGTGAAGGATGAGTAAGCACCAGGAACGCAGAGAGGAACGAGACGCTGCCCACAAACTTCATGTCTTACAATTATTTTCTTGTAAGCTACGCAGCAAAAGGCAGCTGACCCTCTTGAAACAAGCACAGGCCTGATCCTTGGAAAGGATCAGGAAACAGGGTCTTAATTCAGCCACAGAACCACTTGAAGCCACAATTCAGCCACAAACCTCACGTTCACAAATCAGTGATTGGCTTGATCTGCAGGATGCCAGTGAGCAGATCCCATCTGTTGCCCTTCCAACCACCACTTCTTCAAGCACCAGGGACGTGTGACACCATTTTTCACGGCTTCAAATGCCCAAGTGCAGAATAAATTTTTGTTTGGACCAAACTACACTGACACGAAGATTAAAATAATTTTCAAACGCAGCTTAACACAAATACGAGTTGCTGTCGTGCTGTGCCAGCTGCTAAAATGTTTTGATACAACAGGTTTGTGCAGGAAATTCTATTCTTTCATTTCTTTTTTTCCCCACAGATTAAAGAAACAAAATGAGATGACTCTCTTAACGAGATCAAGGCAAAAGAACTCAGCTGAGAATCACCTGGGACTTTACACAGTTGTCTAAATATCACAGTATTGCCCCAAATATCACCAGTCCTGCAGACTCAGAGTGCTGCCACTGCCTGAAAGAAGCACTGAGAGAAACCCCAAGGATTTTATTATTGATATCTCTAAAAAGAATGGAGATTTCCAGCTCTGCCTGAAGCTTGGACCAAAGTTTTGGAGACAGCTGCCACTTCTAGCAGGTTACTGGATAAACCAAGGCAGTTCATCATCTCTCATTAACCAGTTGCAATAAGTAACAGAAAAGCCAGAGATATTTTTAACAGGACCAAAGCAGCCTATTTTATATACCAAGTTTAACAAACACTGTGAACAAACTCTTAAAAGGCAAAGATCCTCATCATGTCAGTATTTGAAGAGTGTGAAGCATTACACTGGGATCCCCAGCAAGGAAAGAGAACCCTGGTGCTGTGACAAGAGAGACCCACCAGTGTGATAGGACTGGGAGGGTGCAGATGCTTCTACTCATCCCAGTGTGTGTGGAAGGGGATGTCAATGGGCAACTGTTTCCCCAGCACTGAGCCAACACCTGGATCCAAGTCCCGACCTGGAACGGGCTGTCCCACATCCTGAGATTTCATTTCAAATCAGAGTGACAAGGCTTTGAGGCTCCAGGAAGCAGCAGCTGGAGATTCCTCGCAACCAGCTGCTGAGGACTAGGGAATTTTTCTTTATGAAAGTCCTGAAAGGAGGATATAGAACCTGCCACAAAGACCAGATGAGCTGCAAAGAGCCGTCAGACAGGGGCATCCGTGGTGTTATTTCCCATTAAAACATGGGCCTGACACGGGAATTACCTGCTGGAGATCACATCCAACCTTTTTTGTTTGAACAGGGAATAAAGTGTGAGCACAGCCCTGTTCAGTTCGAGATTAGGACAGCTTTAATGTACACAAAGCAGGTGAAAGGGACCTGAAGTGAGCTGACAAGAAAGCTGGAGAGGGCTTTTTACAATGGCATGGAGTGACAGGGTAAGTGGGAATAGCTTCAAACTGACAGAGAGTGGGATTAGATTTGATATTAGGAGATTCTTCCCTGTGAGGGTGATGAGGTTGCCCAGAGAAGCTGTGGCTGTCCCATCCCTGGAAGTGTCCAAGGCCAGGTTGGACTGGGCTTGGACCAACCTGGGATAGTGGAAGGTGTTCCTGCCCATGGTAGGGGTTGGAACGAGATGAGCTTTAAGGTCCCTTCCAACCCAAAACATTCTCTGATTCTATGAATATTGACTTTCTCAATATGCAAAAACAACAAATCCCGACATGAACAGCGATATATTCCACCCCGTGGAAGGAATATCACAGGAACACGGTTACCCCAACCCTTTCCATTCACGAGACTCACAAAAGCGTGTTAAAATGAAAGTGAGGAAGAAAAGGATTTTTTCACTCTGATTCCTCAAAGCACTCAGCCTCCTGAACAAACAGTTTCCGTTTGGCTCGGCCCTGAAATCCGAGGTCAGGAATCATTCCTTCCTGGGGATCACATCTCAGCCAAGAGTAAAGGTGAGGTTAAGCTCACAGACAGGAGCCAAAGGCCAGACACTGATTTTCACACACCCCTGCACAGGGTCCAGGTCCCAGAGGCCATTCCAGGCCAACTCCCTGCATAAGTGACCCATTTTCAGAGCATGGAGGTTAACTCAGAGAGGAGAAACTCTGTGAACACAGACCAAGCCCTCAGTGACCTCAACAGAAATCCCATGCTTTGGACCCTGAAAACCTCAGCCAAACGATGCCTTAGGGGCTCAATGTTTAGAGCTGAAGCACCTTAAAAATAGACCCAGAAGACCCAGCAGACAGCCAGACCACTAGGCAGCACACCCAAGAGAGGTTCAGCAACTGATTGTTTTTAATAAGCCCACAAATTAGGCATTCGTGGCTGTTTTGGCATCCTGAGAGGCAGCAAACCTCCTCCCCACAGCCTGGGGGGGTGGGGGGTGAGCGGGTCTGGCAGCACAGGGCGGTAGGAAACACCTCCTCAAGGAGACGAGCAGCCCGGTCCGGGGAAGAGACAGGGGTTGAGGAAGGGGTGGTAGGAAGGATCCCAGCGGCAGTAGGAAGGATCCCAGCGGCAGTAGGAAGGATCCCAGCGGCAGTAGGAAGGATCCCAGCGGCAGCGCACAGAGCCGGGGAGACCCCGGGTGGGTCACAGCGCTTCTGCGTGACCTGCGGGGGACTGGGGAGCGGGTGTGGGACCCCCAGCCCTGGCTGTGCGGGGAACACGGCGACGGGGAGCAGGACCTCCAGCCCCGCCCGGAGAGGGGGTACAGCGAGGGGAAGTGGGACCCCTTGTCCTGGCCGGAAGAGGGGCTCGGGACCCCTGTCCCGGCTGGAGGGGGGCATGGGGAAGGGAGATGGGACCCCCGGCCAGAGGAGGATGTAGGGAGGGGGAGCTGGACCTGTGGCTCCACCGGGGGAACCAGGGAGGGGAACGGGACCCCCGGCCCGGCCGGAGGTGGGTCGGAGGCTGCGCCCAGACCGCCCTCAGGGCGCGGGGGTCCCGCCCCCTCTCTCTGATTAGCTAAGACGCGGAGAAGCGGCACCGCCATTGGCCAGCGACGCTTCAGTCAATGCCACGTCCCGGCGGCGGCGGGCGGGGGCCGGGGGGGGCCCGGGCCGGGCCGAGTGAGGGGTGTCCGCCCGCGCCTCGCGCCCACCTGGAAGGGGTTGATGTCCACCGGGTCGGCGAACGGGTTGGTGTCGAAGCCCGACATAGGCGCGGTCCGCTCCGCTCCCGCCGCCGCCGCCGCCGCCGCTCCTGGCGCTTCCGGGGCACCCGCGTGACCGGGGAGCCGCGTGACGTCACAGCGGCGCATGTACCTCGCGCGGTGTTAACCCTGTGGGCGTGGCCGCGTGACGTCAGAGCGGCGCTTACAGCCGGCGGGGGGGAGGGGGAGAAGGGGGGAACAGACCTGTCCGGCCGAGCCATGGCGGAGATCCGGGGTGAGCGGGGCACGGGGCACCCCCCGGCCGGGGTGGGGATGCGGACAGGGACCACCCCCAGGACGGTGGGGCGGAGGAACCGTGACCCCTGCCCGCAACCCGAGATCGCTGTATGATGGTTGAAAATCGCCCCCTCATACACTCTACTCTCCCAAGCCCTTGGTCCCCTATCTCCCTGATGCCCTCTCACCCTGCCCTGGGGGCTTTCGCGGTGTCTGGAAGGGGTTTGGGGTTTTTTTTNGGCGGGGGCCGGGGGGGGCCCGGGCCGGGCCGAGTGAGGGGTGTCCGCCCGCGCCTCGCGCCCACCTGGAAGGGGTTGATGTCCACCGGGTCGGCGAACGGGTTGGTGTCGAAGCCCGACATAGGCGCGGTCCGCTCCGCTCCCGCCGCCGCCGCCGCCGCCGCTCCTGGCGCTTCCGGGGCACCCGCGTGACCGGGGAGCCGCGTGACGTCACAGCGGCGCATGTACCTCGCGCGGTGTTAACCCTGTGGGCGTGGCCGCGTGACGTCAGAGCGGCGCTTACAGCCGGCGGGGGGGAGGGGGAGAAGGGGGGAACAGACCTGTCCGGCCGAGCCATGGCGGAGATCCGGGGTGAGCGGGGCACGGGGCACCCCCCGGCCGGGGTGGGGATGCGGACAGGGACCACCCCCAGGACGGTGGGGCGGAGGAACCGTGACCCCTGCCCGCAACCCGAGATCGCTGTATGATGGTTGAAAATCGCCCCCTCATACACTCTACTCTCCCAAGCCCTTGGTCCCCTATCTCCCTGATGCCCTCTCACCCTGCCCTGGGGGCTTTCGCGGTGTCTGGAAGGGGTTTGGGGTTTTTTTTCTGTTTCCCGCTAACATTTTACTACTCTCCCGTAGTGTTCCCCCTCTCCTGCGCGGTGCAGAACTATTCCTGGGGGAAAGTGGGCCTGGAGAGCGAGGTAGCCAAGCTGCTGAGCAGTGGTGACCCCCTAGTCCAGATCCAGCCTGACCGGCCCTACGCGGAGGTGAGTGCGTCTGTGTGTCCGTGCCGTTCGTGTGTCTGTCACACCCCTATGTCCCGCCCACCCGGCTGTGGCTCTCTCCATCCTGTATCCCATCGGGATGGGATCCTGACCCGCCCCCCCAGTTGTCCCTTTCGGGGCTGCCCAGATTGAAGAGGAGAAGCCTGGCGTGATTCAGCCTCCGAGGGAGCTGCCTTGGCTGCATGGATCACCTGTGGGGCCAAGCAGCCTCTAAAAAAGCCCAAGTCATCCGTGTTGGCTGCCCAGCTCAGGGTTCCATCAGGCTGTCTGTGTCTCACAGCTCTGGATGGGCGCACATCCCCGGGGCGATGCCATCATCCGGGATAACCGCATCCCCCAAAAAACCCTAGGCCAGTGGATTGCCGACAACCCCGCCTGCCTGGGGACAAAAGTGAAGGACACCTTCCAGGGACAGCTGCCCTTCCTCTTCAAGGTGCTCTCAGTCGATACTGCCCTCTCTATCCAGGCACACCCCAACAAGGTAAGGAGAGCCCTGGATAGGCAGCCCAGTGGGACCCCGTGTCCCTGGGGATGTCACCCAGCTTCTCTCCCCCTCTCCAGGAGCTGGCAGCGAAGCTGCACGCCCAGTTTCCTGAGCACTATCCCGATGCCAACCACAAGCCTGAAATGGCCATCGCCCTCACCCCTTTCGAGGGCTTGTGTGGCTTCCGGCCCGTGGAGGAGATTGTCTCCTTCCTCCAGAGTAAGGATGAAGGGTGCATAGTCAGACCCCAGGGTGGGGATGGGAGCCATGCTCCCTTGCAATGGGGTTTGGGGTGGGGATGAGGGATAGGCTCCCTTGGGATGGGGCTCTGGGTGAGGATGGGGGCCGTGCTCCCTTGGGATGCAGTTTGGCGTGGGGACGAGGGTTGTGCTCCCTTAAGGTGGAGTTCAGGGTGAGGGCACTGCTCCCTTGGGATGGGGTTTGGGGCAGGGATGGGGGCCATGCTCCTCTAGGATGGGGGTGCTGATTCTGACTGGGGCTGGCCCCTCGTAGACGTCCCCGAGCTGCGGGCGCTGATCGGGGAGGTGGCAGTGGAGCAGCTGGAGCGCAGTGGGAGCGACGACCCCCGTGGTGTCTCGGCCGCTCTCCGTGTGTGCTTCACCCGCCTCATGAAGAGCGAGAAGAAGTTCTTTGTTGACCAGCTGAACATGCTGGTGAAGAGGATCTCCCAGGAAGGTGGGTCCTCGCTGTGGCCCCCAGAACAATTTGGGGGGTTGTGGGTAGGGGAGGGGCCAGGGCACCCCCTGGCTCCATTCCTATGTTGTGCCTGGTCTCTTCTCACGCAGCAGAGGAAGGGAAGGACACGTCAGGGAGCAATGGGGAACTGCTGCTGCGGCTGCACTCCCAGTACCCAGGAGACATTGGCTGCTTCACCATTTATTTCCTGAACCTGGTAAAGCTGGAGCCAGGGGAGGCCATGTTCCTTGGAGCCAATGAGCCCCATGCCTACCTGCGTGGAGGTGAGTGTCATGGGGGCTCTCCTAACCCACCACCCTGCAAAGACTGGCCACGGGGACATCTGGAAGGGCTGGGGTGGACTGACAGCACTGCCTCATCCCTGCAGACTGCGTGGAGTGCATGGCATGCTCAGATAACACGGTGCGGGCCGGGCTCACCCCCAAATTCATCGATGTGCTCACCTTGTGTGAGATGCTCAACTACACGCCGGCGCCCAGCAGCTCCAAGATCTTCCCAGCTGTGCAGAGCCAGCTTGATCCCAACGTCTATGTCTATGATCCACCCGTGCCAGACTTTGCCATCATGAGGATAGAGGTGAGCGGTGACGGGTCGGGGGACACATCTCAGCTGGGCTCCGGGTAGGACAACCCAGTGCTGGCTAGGCTTCACTCACCTTTGTAGTTAGTGCCCCAGTGAGGGGGGAGGGATGCTTGGGGATGTGATGTTTGTCTCTTTATCCCTCCCCTGTTCCCTCTGCCTGAAGCTCATTCACCTTCTCTAGCAGCTCTGGGCAGAGGGAGAACCAGGAACAGGTCTTGGGTGTCCTCAGCCAAGCCGAGGCCCCTGGGCTTGGGCTGCTGCAGGTGCAGCAAAGGGGTGGGAATGGAGATAACCCCATCCCAGCTCTCTGTAGAGGAGGAAAGCTGGGGGAGACTCCAGCCACAGTGACATTTTCCTTTGCAGATCCCTGCCTCCATCAAGCTGTACCTCATCTCTGCCATAGACTCTGCCAGCATCTTGCTGGTGATCCAGGGGACAGCTGTGGGCACCTCCACAGCCGCAGCCTCCGAGATGTCTCTGTGTCGTGGCTCCGTGCTCTTCATCTCGGCTAACGAGAGCATCTCCCTCCACCTCTCCTCACCAGATGGGATGCTGCTCTTCCGAGCCTGCTGCCTCCTCTGAGACACTTCTGTCTCCTCTTGGAACACTTCCTCCCCATCACTCCACGTTTGAGTAGATAGAAACTGGTGTCGGCAAAGTCATCTCGCTTGGAAGTTTTCCCTCCATCTATTAAATCCCAAACCCAGCCCTGATGTATAGAAAGAGCAGTTCTATAGATCGACTCCTCGGATGTGGCACAGAGCACAGCAGGCTGAGGCTTTCTGCAGCTTCTGGCAGGCTCTTCTAAGCCTGGCTGATGGCAGCCAGTGTTGCCCCTTCCCTGGCTGTAAAAGGGGGTTGTTTGGCAGGTTTATGGAGCGGGAAAGCTTCCGATGCCGTGAATAAAGAGGTGACTTTGTCCTCAGCGCAGGGCGGTGTGGTGCAAGGAGCAGGAGGAGGATTGGGGTGGGGGACTGGAGGAAATGCTGGGAGCAGCTCCAGCTGTAACTCTCCCACCACTGGTTGTTACCCCCCCCTCCCTCCTCAGGGGAACAGGAAGTGAGTAAAATGTGATGAGGGAAAACACATCGCTCTGAAATCCCACCAGTCAGGGAAGAAGCCCTCTGAAGTGAGGCTGCTGGGAGGAGCAGGGCACCAACACCCTCCAAGTAATGAGATTCAGTTTATTGAGTGCTCCCTTTAACAAGTAAAGTACAAAAGCAAAACCCCAGAAGCAAACAAAACAAACAAACAAACAAACAAAAAACCCCAACAGTTCAGGTCTCTAGACATGAAATATTTAAATAAGGTTTCTGTATTGAAGCAGCTGATTGTCCTCTAGGTTGTAGAGCAGGACCATGGTTTAAGGCAGCTTTTAAGGTTTGCAGCAGAGTCCCCAGGCCCCACATCCAAACCCTGTGTGGAGCTGGTATGGGGGGGTCTAGGCAGTCCCCCACCTGCATCAAAGCAGCACTGGGGAGAACAGGAACAAGCCATTAGCTCCAAACCCAGCACCTCCTAACTCCTTCCCTTTACACCTCCATGGAGGTGCCAGGCTCTGCCTCTTCTTTCCCACCCCAGCAGGTGAGAGGTCCCATCCAGACCACCAAAATGTCACCATGCCACCTCTCCCTGATATTGCTGAGTGTAAAGAAAAGTCCTGTGGGGTCAGTTGGTCTCTGCCATAAGCAGAATCGTTCAGTCATTGTGTCACCATCCCAGCAGGGGACACAGACAGCAACAGCCGTCCCACGGGACAAAGAAAGTGCTGGATTTTGACCTGTTCTTGTGCACCTATTGGATCACACAGGAGAGATTTTCTCCGAAACAACAGGGGCAAGAAGAGGAGGCAACTGGTTTTGGGGGGATGAGATCCAGGTCTTCATCATCGGGGACCTCGTCGAGGTGGTACCCATCCTGCAGCAGCTGCCGGCTCAGGTCCTGGTTCACCTGCTGTGGGAGGACAAAGTGGAGCTCTGTAGGACGGGACACGTGCATCCACACCCTGTGGGGTTATGCTTCCAGCCCCTATCCAGAATCTCAGGTTGTGAGGGGGACAGGGGAGCACGTGGGGGCCACACGGTCAGAGTCAAACACCTGCACTTGCCTCGGCAGAGGAGTATCCTGAGGAACATCTGGATCCTGGCTCCCCGTCACTAAGAGGAAAAGGAAACAGCTGGCCAGGAAATAACCTTGGGAATAAGCCCTGCGTAACTGCAAGGGATTTGTTAAATTTGGGACAACAGGAGCATTTCACAGAAATTTCACAGAGTATTCTGTGTTGGAAGGGACCCACAAGGATCATCGATAACTCTTAAGTGAATGGCCCATGCAGGGATCAAACCCACAACCTTGGTGTTTATTAGCACCGTGCTCTAAACCAGCTGAGCTCATCTCCATTTCACTGCTCAGAGGTGCTCAAGTGCTCTAAAAGTGACAAGGAAAATCAATCCCCGAAGTAAAGCCAGCTCTGAGCACCCTCCACCAAAAATCCTGGGATAATCACCCAAAAATCCTGGAATATTCACCTGTCTGAGTCGAGGGAGACCAGGTTCTCATCAGCTGTCTGGTTGAGTGCAGTGTAGCCCTTGTTAAACTTCACCGACCTGCCAGAAAGCAGCCGAGTGAGACCAGGACAGATGTTTTCCATGGAAACACATCCATGGAGCTGATGGACTGAGGAGCCAGGGCAGGAATCCTGCTCCTTCCCAGCCAGGCGCTATCCAGGGCCACCACCAGCTAACCCAAATAAATCTACAACACCAAATCATCCCTCAAATAAAAGGGAAAAGCCCTATATTTTATTATACCGGATGTTCCTGGCCAAACAGAGCCATCAGAATAAGGTCCCAAACTCTTATTTATAATCCTCTGAATTTCTCAGCCTCCCCAAGGGAAGCGAAAAATACATTTTGGGGAAAGAAAAAGGGGATCAGACCTTTTAGGTGCCGATTTCGGGGTGGTGGGTCCCCCCAGCAGCCCCTGCCTTCGCAGAGCTGCCTTCACCAGCTCACGCTGCCTCTCTGAAAGCCAAGCACAGGGACAGAGATAAAAATTCCCATGTGTTCCCCCAAGATCTGTTTTTTTGGGCGGTGGGGGTGTTGCAGGTGAGCATGGGGGCAATGCAGTGCTTTCCACAGGCATCGCTATGGGATTTTTAATGTTTTGGAGGGGGTTTTTATAAAGGTTTTATCCCACCGAGGAATAAAAAGGCTGTGGGTAACTCCCGCCCTGGCAGAGAGGTGGAAATAACTCCCGAAATCCCAGCAGAGTCCACCAAGCATCATTTACTCAGCTTGGCCTGAATGGAGGGAGGTTTGCTCATGATGTATGGTCCCCTTTTCTCCACCGTATCCGTCCCCTTGTTCAGCCTCTTGTTTTCAGCCCAAATCAGCTAAAAAAAAAAAAAAAAGAGGGAAAGAAGCACACTCAGCATCTCTCCACAGGGATATAGTAACAGAGAGTCATCTCAGAGCACCCATTCATTCCTGGGAGCTCAAGGTCAGCTCCCAGACCAGGAGCAGGGAGAGGAAAAGGAATAAGCAGATCTAGTCGCAGATGAAGGGATTATTTGGGAATGGCGATGCTAAATTAAAAGCACGTGTGGTGACCAGCAGCTCCTGTGCAAGCCCAGCTCCAGCAATACTTGGGAAAACACGTGATGGAGGAGATTTAATGAGTTCATCAAGTAAAAATATAAGGATAGTTTATTTTAATTTCTCTGCAGGGTTGGAGCCTTCAAGCTTCCCCTTTTATCCAGGTATTGTCAAGGAGAGCCAGCACTCCTAATGGCAAGGGCTCCACAAATATAATAAGTAATGAAGAAAATAGATGGAAAATCAGGAAAGGGCAGAGGAGAGTTGGTGCAGGAGGGATGGGAAATTAAAGGAACAAGGCAGAAGACTTGGGCTGGTGATTGGAGAGCACAGTCAGGATTAGCCTCAGTGTCTTAAGACGGAATTAGCGGGGCAGAACCTTATCGTGGTAATAACCAGGCAGGCAGCAGACCCCCAAATCCCCCTGAATGTGCCATACCCCTCCCTAGAGGGGTGCTGATACACCGTCCTTGCACTGTGCCTCCGTGCATATACCCCCTCTACTCCCATATTGCCCCTCTGTGTATATGCCCCACCCCGTATTCCCCTATAGACATACTCCAGCCCCATACCCACCATGCCCATACCCCATACTGCCCCCCACACACACCCCAGCCCTATACCACCCCCATACTGCCCCGTACCTCCCATGCACATACCCCATACAATCCCATGCCCACTCCCCAGCCCCACACGATGCACATACCCCACACTACCCCACAGACATGCCCCAGCCCTATACCACCCACTGCATACCACCGAAACCCGCCATACATATACCCTACACCGCCTCACGCTCACTCCCAGCCCCACACCCCACATCACCAGCACCCCCGTACCCCGCCCGTACCGCCGGGCCCCTCCGCCCGCCGGCTCCGCCCGCAGCGGGACCGGGAGCGGGGCCAGTCCCGGCTCCGCCGCCGCACGTCGCCATGGCCGCCTGTGGCCCCGCCCCTCGCGCCGCCAGCCAATGGCAGCGCGGGGCTGCCGGGACTCAGCCAATGGGAGGCGGGTAGGGGGCGCGCCCCTCTGGTGCGCATGCGTGTTGGGAGCGGGACGGGACGGAGCGCGGGATGGGCAGCGCGGTGTCCTGCCCCGCACAGCGCCCGCCGCGCAATGGGGAACACACCGAACCCTGCCTTCCCGGAACACTCCCCTTTTCTACGGTGAAAGTAGTACGAAATTTCCATTCTCTCCCAGCCCCGACTTCCCCGCCCTCCTCTGGTCCCCCTATCAACCCCTGCCTGTACCAGAACCGAGGCGGAAAATAGGACCACCATCTGTCCCAGAACAGATCCCCTCCAGTGAGGGCACATCCCTTGCAAACAGGAGCCTCCCACTCACCTCTGAGGCTTTGGACATCATCCCAGGGAAATTCCCCGAGGGCTGGGAGAGCTTGTCCAGTCCTTGCTCTGTCCCTCCCCAAAGCTGCATGTACAGGAGGATCATGATGCCCTCCAGACAGCTCCTTACCTTCCCTTTCCCAAAGCCAGGTGCCCAGGAAGGCCCCAGACACAGGGGGCCAAGCAAATTATTTGCCAAGCAAATAATAATTTATAAACTCCTAAGAGCACATTCATGGTTTACTTCTTCCTTTTCCCTAGAAAAGCAACAAGAAATAACCACACGAGCCACCGCCACCATATCAGTCAAACCAGTTTTTCCTTTATTAGGTCCAACTCCACAGCACTTACACTGCGACTCAATAAAGGAAGAAGTTATTTCAGATAAGATTTAAGGTTTGTGTCTCCAGGTGACTGTGTACAATCAGGTAGCATCAGTAAAACACTTGAGTAATGCACCTGGAACAAAAAAGAACAGAAAATAAAAAAAGAACCAGAAAAGCCATTTAAGAAGCAGGCAAATATCTCCACAAAGTTTCCATGAGGTTTCAAATGGTTTATTTCCATCCTTTTTACCTTCAAAACCCCATCTAACCATCCTCAGGAGGAGGGAAAGGACTCAGAAGATCCAGAATTAAGTACTATTTGCAGCAGGCTGACACATGGTATCTCTATTCTAAGCATAATATTTTAAAATATAATATGACACGGGTCATCTCCTGAAGAAACCAAGTTAAGAGGCTTCAATTCCATGAGGATTTTTATATAGGGCTTAATTTTAGTCTGGGATTAGAGCACATCAGGTCTTGCCCATATTCTGCCTTTGCCAGGAGTTTTGGGGTACAATAGTCCCATGCTAAGAGTCTGGGAAGCAACATCATCCCTTACCAATAAAGTTTATGCTTTGTCCAGGCCCAGTTCCTCTGGAGTGGAGATTCCCAGTTCACTCAAAGTTGGTCTAAGCTCCTGGATAACGTAAGGATAGATTTCCTTGTGAGGTCCTGCCTTGTCCTAAACAAAAAGACAAATGGTGTTATTTCAGCATAGAAAGATTCTTCCATTGGTCTTATGCCTCCAAAATCTCCACACCAGCCACTGCTTGTGGCAGAGCAGAACTGCTGGCTTCTAGGGCTGGCTCCTCTTAACTCCCTGGGAAGGCTGGATTCAAGTTTCAAGGTTTAAGGTGTTTTCCAGGCCTACCCAGCTTTCTGAGTTACTACTCCCAGCCAGCTCAGCACTCAATCCCTTAAGAAGCCAGTAAGCTTTGTGCTCATCCTGCAGCCATTGACCACAGCAACAGGAAAGAGTAGTTTCCCCTTGCAGCAGGAAAAAGCCAGGGGAAACTCTCCTGGTGCCGGGCTCTAGCAATGCAAACACAGCAGTTCCACCCACCTTTACAACCTCTAGGATGCGAACAGTGCTGGCAAAGTCATTTAACCGTCTGCAGGCCCTCAGAGCCGCGTCAATGATTTTTGGTTCTGGGACCAGGTCGTAACCCACCAGTGTGTTTATGCCTGTGGAGACAAGAAAACACTAAGAGGAACTTGGAATCAGCTTGCCACGCTGCCAAAAGGAACCCTTTGCTGTCTATTCCTTTTCTCTCCTTTCCAAGGGAAGAGCCCAACACCTAGCCAGCCAGGTGCTGCTGGAACAATCCCTCTGGCTGCAATTATCTGGTTATGCAAACACAATTTTAATTCTTAATTGGGGAAGCTTAACAAAACTTGGCAACTCCACAGCAAAAAACTGGAGACAACCAGACAACAGTCTGCAGTCAGTTATGGCCAGGCCACTGGGTCAAAGTCCAAAGAAAAACGTGTGTGGTTACACACTGAACTGAGCTTACATATACTTCCCTTGGAGCAAATGTTTCTCTCCCTCCCATCCAGGTGTTAAAGTCATGGAATGGTTTGGGTTGGAAAGGACTTCAAAAGTCACCTAGCCCACCCACCTTCCACTAGACCAGGTTGCTGGAAGCCCCATCCAACCTGGCCTTAGACACTTGCAGGGATGGGGAGTCCACAAAAAGGCCAAGTAAAGTTGTTATTTCTGGTCACCAAACTTACATTTACTTCAGGTTACTCTTCCCTTTTCCCCAGCGTACCTTTCCTGAGCTCCCAGGCATCAATATCTGGCTTGTTGAAATATGTCACCCAGCGAGCATCGAATTCTTCATCTGACTCTTGTGACCCGTGAGAGTAGCAGCGGGCATGCAGCACAGCTGGATCCAGAAACAAAGGAAGACATTTGGAGCAGAAGGAAAATAACAGTACTTGAGTCCTTACCAAGAGGCCAGAAGCCATAAAATATGGATTTCACTTGCTACAGTCAGTCTGGATCAGTCCTGGATAAGCAGTGGATGGATACAGCTATTGAATACTCTGGTTTGGTTTGTGGCAAAGTGTCTATTTTTTCCACATCAGACTTCCAAAGTGTCCCCAGAGCCTTTGGTCAGAGCAGGATTATTTAGCAAGAAAACCTCTCTTAAGGACCGGTTATCCAGAGTTGGTTTTCTGGCATCCCTATATCTGTAAGATACAGGAATTTTCCCTCTTCCCAGAGCCAAGCGAGCTGGAGAAACATCAGTCAGCACCAAA